CCACGAAGATGGGTGATGATGCGAGTTCCTCGGAGGACGAGGGAGACAGGGGCACTGCCGTGACCTTGGTGGAGCGTCGTAAGCCTGCGGCTGCGCCTGTCGGCGGCGGGCCTAGTACGGAGGTGCGCAGCGATGTTCCTGAGTCGAGGAAGCGCGCCACGAGTGAAGACGCTGCCCTCGAACGAGAGGCAAAGCAGGCGCGGTCGCCGCGCCCTTTGGAGGCGTCGTCGGCTTCGCGGCCCCCTGCTCTGAGTGTGGCGGAGCACGCCGGTCGGTCGGGGGGATGTGATCGTTCCCCTGCGTCTTCGGGGTCGACGTGTGTGCGCGACCCCCAATGAGGAGATGCCCCAACAGTTGCTCTGGTGGTTTCGCCACGAGCTGGCAGTCGTGGCCGTTCGTGGGCCAATTGGGGACAGGCCAGGTCGCCCCCTCCCTCGGTTGATGCGACGGGGCGCGAGTCATGACCCCCGAAAGATCCTCGTCTGGTCGGCTCAATGTCAACCGGTCGGAGATTCAGGGTTCTGCCGCTTTTGTCTAGGTATGTATTCATGCTTCTCTTTGTTCTCAAAGTTGAGTTTTTGAGTGTGACTAACCTGTGCTTGTGCCCTTTTTTTCTTTCTTTTCTTTTTTCTTCTTTTTTTTCTTTTGCAGTGGCCTAGAGCCGACAGGACTAGGGATCTCCCCACCTCCTATGCGAGAAAAGTGAAGACCCAGCCTACGACGGGTTGCGATGAGCGAATGGGGAAGCAGGCTGGTGGCGGTGCGACCTTCCTTAATGGGGGTTGCGTCTTCTCGACTGGTCGTGAGCACGGCGGGGTCCGTGATGGCTGCGATCCCCATGGTGACGGCAAAGGCCGGGTCGGCGATGACTCTTGCGGTCCCTCCCTCGCCAGTCGCGGAGGAGGAGAGGAGGGAAACTGGGCTCCCTGTCTCGCCCGACGAAGGAGCGCATGGTTCACTCGCTTGATCAGAGCTGGAGGGGTTCGGAGGAGCTGTGGCTAGGACGGAGGTAGAGCAGCCACCGGCGAGCCATGGAGTCCTAGTGGCGGACATCCCCTTCGACGACGAGGAGGACACCAGGGTGCAGCCGCCAGCCATCACGCCATCCCGGGAGTTGGTGATGATTCGGTCATCGCTTGATACTGCGATGGTTGGATCTTCCGGTTGGTCAGGGGCGACCCGCGAGCTGGTGTGGCCTTGCCCCGATGAGCCAGGAAAGGCCCGGTTCGTGCTTCGTGACGAGGAGGAGGTGAAGCTTTGGCACCTGCTCGGGGAGAGAGGACTATCGATAGAGTCTGATCTCGCCCTTACCAAGGCAAAGCTTAAGGAGGCCTTGGAGAGGGTTGAGCTCATTCATTAGGCCATGACCGTCGACCTGCCACGCGTTGCAGAGGTAAGTTTTCTGCGTTCCTGGTGTTGTCTTTGATTCCTTGGCATTTAAACGGTTGTCTCAGCATGTCTGCTTCTTGCCTCGCATGACCTGAAGATGATGTCGATCCGTAAGTCCTGATTTCTTTGGGAGGAGCACGGTTGGATGAAGCAAGAAGTGGTGGCCTTGCGGCGGGTTGACGAGCTCAGGCACGAGCTGGAGTCCGCCCGCCGTGAGTCCCAAGACTGGGCGACCGAGGCAACGGGAATACGGGCGGCGGAGCTACGTCTGGTCGAGCAGGCGACTGCTGCCGAGTAGAAACTCGGATCAATGCAGCTTTGATGATGATAACAAACTAAAGTCAAATAATCTATAAAAACATGTATATGTTGATAAATTCATAAAAACATGCTATATGCGTGAGAGTATAGGCAAATCGGCTAAAATAGCCGATGCAGTCATAGCACACAAACAGAGTACATATCTCGATCATGAACAAGACCACTAATCGATAATCTCTAATCTAAAGTCTTACCAGTGAGGTTCGATCGGATCGATGCAGCTATGGTGGTGTCATTAGATTTGATCTCATTAACTAGCGAGTTTATTCAAGATTGAAACATGTCTTTGGATGCATACTATGTTTGATTGGAATAAAGATAAAACAGCCGATCTAGCAGAATGAAGCCATCGATTTTAAGATTTAAAGCGTGACCAGATCAAAGGACGACAAATTAAGATGATATGATGCCGATCTATATATATCTCAATCAGATGATTTGTTATAATTAATAAAACATTAATTATAACAAGATCGATAACTGGTAAATCAACCAAAAACAGCAAGATAAATCTTACTAATCTTAGCAGATTCGATAACCGGTGATAATATATTAAACAACAAGTTATTTAACACAAGATCGATAACTTTGATCTATATTATGATTCATAAGAGATCAATCAACTGATGCAGCCTTACAAACTACGATACAGATCGATAACTAACTTATATTATGGCTCATAAAAGATCAATCAGCCGATGCAACTTTACAAGCACAATACAAGTCGTGATGGTACTCGCCTAGATCTACAGTGCTCCTACTCCTAATGCGATGGCGAAAGCCCTGTTTGCCCTGTTTGCTGGAGGTCGATCAGTCGATGCAGTCCTGTTTACTGAAGAACTCGCCTAGATCTACAGTGCTCCTACTCCTAATGCGATAGCGAAAGCCGGAAAGATTGTGTTGATTGAGTATTCGTTTCTTTTTTTTACAATGACCGGGGGTTTATATTTGTACCTTGGGCGAATAAGAGTCCTGAAAGGACTTGCCTAACAAAATATATATAAATAAAGGAAAAAATTAAGATACAATGACTCCACATGCATGCACATTAATCCTCCGAACTCTATCTTGTTTGTAACCACGCCATGTTGCCATGTATTTTAACACATGTCCGATTTGACTTCCCTTCCTTCCTCCTCACGTAAGTAAATATAATCATGTGGCATCTGGGCTTCTTGAAAATGCATGCGGCTCATGAACAAATTCTTGTTACTAAACATAGCTTCTTTGACTGACGTGTCCATTTATGACACCTAGCCGGCCTTGTATACGCGTATACATCATACATGTTCTTGCTTCTCGTCCTTGATGTGCACCTGGACGTCGATAAAATAATATTCCTTTCGCCTCTACATATATGTGTATATTTCCAATTGGACTTATCTTGCATCGTCATCACGTCAGCCATCAGGAGTCAGGAAGCTTCGTGTCTCCATCCAAAGATATGTCGATTTATTTCCTTATGCAGCCCCGCCAAACAATATTAAAATATTTCTTCTTCATTAGTTGATTTGTTTAGCCTTGCACGTGAGTCTTACCATATATAACTGGCCAAATATATTAATTGGCCATACTTGCATGAATACCCATAATAGCCAAACATGCAAGTCTAATGGTCACGTATACATGTATATCTCCTCTGCTTTAATCTTGCTGGTATCCAAGTCAAGCATAGCTCGTATATCACTTGGGCTTTCATCCTTTTCTATTTGCCTTACCGGTTGCCCACTCCGATATGTACAGGTGATGCTAGCTGTTTGATATTTTGCTGAAATCCAACTTCCTGCCAACGATGTCTCCTTCGCTGCTTCACGTGGAGAGGTCTCGTACGTGAGGCTTCTCCGAAAATGTACCAGCTTCACGTGGAGAGGTCTCGTACGTGAGGCTTCTCCGAAAATGTACCAGAGAATATTTCCATGCCGGCTCGTAAATATACATCAATTAGGAGATCTTTCTTGCTTTCGATATCATCGGCCGATTTCTTCCTTTCTAGAGAAAGCTTACTAAATTTTGGTGTAAACAGTTTAGCATTAGCGATTTAGTTTCTCCCTCTATATCCATTTCACATGTTGAATTATTTTAATCATTTACTTTCATATATTCATATTCCCAATCTCAGTTAGCATCTGTATAATATTTGACAAACTAGATCAAGCAAAGGATTATTGCCACCGGTTAAAATCTAGGCATGTGCTTGTAGTCTTAAATAACTACGTCTATGACTGTTGTTGCCCATTTTCAAAATTTCAAATAAACTATATGAAACTTGGAGATTCTGGAGTTTATATGAAAATTGTTTATATGACTAACACAATACCATGGAATTATCTTGCCTTTTTGCTGATTGTATACTCATGTTAATTTTTGTTTGCAACATACGAAAGCTTTGCTAAATCATCACTTTCACTATATGCCATCTCATATTTTATTGGGTCACCTTTGTATGTTCCTATAGTACTAATGTTGAGATCAATACTGTTGTGTTTCTCTAGAAGGATATCTTAAATTTCATCAAATTATGATGGTGTTTACCTTTTTGTTATTTCCCAATTTTGACTATGCAGGTAGTTCTGTTGATTGTTCCAGACTCTAGAGGGACAGTAGAATTAAAACTGGGTTTTGATGGCCTAAATTACAATATGACTACTACAACGATACTAATTATTAGAACACAGTACTATCTTTGCTGAATATATTCTCTAATTGTCGGAACATAGTAATATCTTTGCTCAATATATCCTCATCTTATTTTTTCCGTGATTTTTCTTGGGCCAATAGTTGTTTTACAGGGAGACTATGTTTCACATGTGATTTCTCATATTATAACTTCATGTTTTGTGGACCTTCTTTTGTTTGAATGATGATCTATGAATGGCTAGCAGCCTAGCTAAGGCCATAAGTTTGCTTTTACATAGAAATTACTCAGCGTTGATAATGGAAAATGATTTAACTATGCCTGAATATGAGTAATTAATGTAAATTAATATCTTCTTATTATTGAACAAACTGCTATCATACTTTCGATCTTGGTTTCATGCAAGTATGCGTCAAACAAGACATCAGCAGCTTATTTCAAACGTGACAAATATCCATGGGTCAGTTTGCTCCAACTCGTTGAGGCACGAGGCTAGGCAACACACAGATGGACTCACATATCACAGGCTAGCCTGACACAGCGAGGCGCGCGGCAACGCCGCGCCTGTTTTCTAGTACGCACTATGCCCCCGCATGAACGCTCAGCACACTTGCTCCGCTAGCTCTCTAGAGTACCGAGGCTCTCACCAGTCACCATGAACCAGGAGATCCAAATAACAAAGCTGCCGTCGCAACGCCAACAGCAACAAGAACTACCACTGCCACCAGAAGATGGCACCATCGTGAAAGATCACACGTCGCAAGACGAGCAGCAACAGGCGGCGCAAGGTCGCCACGGCGCCGTGCAAGGCGGCGGCCACCATCACCACCACCACCGGAGCAGCAGCAAGCTGACGGTGCTCCCGCTCATCTTTCTCATCTACTTCGAGGTGGCCGGCGGTCCGTACGGCTCCGAGCGGGCGGTCCGCGCAGCGGGCCCGCTCTTCACGCTCCTCGGCTTCCTCGTCTTCCCCTTCGCGTGGGGCGTCCCGGAGTCGCTCGTCACGGCCGAGCTCTCCGCCGCGCTCCCCGGCAACGGCGGCTTCGTCCGGTGGGCCGACCTCGCCTTCGGCCCGCTCGCCGGCTCGCTGCTCGGCACGTGGAAGTACCTCAGCTGCGTCATCAACATCGCCGCGTACCCGGCGCTCGTCGCCGACTACCTGGGCCGAGTCATCCCCGCCGTGGCTGCCGGCACGGGCGGCAGGACGCGCACGGGCACGGTGGTCGGCATGACCCTGTTCCTGTCCTTCGTCAACTACACCGGCCTGAGCATCGTTGGGTGGGGCGCCGTCGTGCTGGGGCTCGTGTCCCTGGCGCCGTTCGTGCTCATGACCGGGATAGCCGTGCCCAAGATGCGGCCGCGGCGGTGGACGGTGCAGGTGGAGGGGAGCAAGGACTGGCGCCTCTTCTTCAACACGCTCTTCTGGAACCTCAACTACTGGGACAGCGCCAGCACCATGGCCGGCGAGGTGGAGCGGCCGGAGCGCACGTTTCCCCGGGCGATGGCCGTGGCAGTCGTGCTCATCGCTGCCAGCTACCTGCTGCCGCTCATGGCAGCGACCGGCGCCACGGACGCGCCGCCGGACACGTGGGCGAACGGCTACCTGGCCGATGCTGCCGGTACGTATAAACTGAAGGAGTTGATATACTTTGTGTGCCTAAATTTTTTGAAATTTTCAAGCAACAATCTTATACAATAAACTATTACAATTAAAAAGAAACAACTCACAAGAGACAACTTATAATTTTTTTTCTATAGCCAAACAATAACAAAATTGCATGTTCTCTGAACAATAAAAAAATCAGACATGCAAAATGTAGGATAAGTGCTCATATATGTATGTGCAATCAGAGTCTTCGTATATACTCTCCTGTTTGGTCGTTATTGGAGACAAAAAATGATTCCTTGTGTTCAGTTCTCCTGAGACATCGAGATGATAGAGATTCTCCTGAAAAGCACTCAAAAACCATACAGGGGAAAAAAAAAAGAACGCAATGAGCAGTATATGCCCTGTGACCGCTATTTCAATCAATCTGAAAATGTCGGCAAATCAAGAGCTGCCTGACCGGCGATGGAGGCCCATGTAGTAGGCCCGCTATCATACACAAGGCCTGAAACTTGGGTGCGTGCGCGTGTTGCAGGCATCATCGGAGGCCCATGGCTCAAGTACTGGATCGAGGCCGGCGCTATTCTATCGTCCGTGGGCATGTTCGAGGCCCAGCTGAGCAGCGGCGCGTTCCAGCTGCTGGGCATGGCGGAGCTGGGCCTGCTCCCGGCGGTGTTCGCGCGCCGCGCCACCCTGTCGCGCACCCCGTGGGTGGCCATCGCCGCCTCCACGGCCGTGACGCTCGCCGTCTCCTTCCTCAGCTTCGACGACGTGGTCGCCACGGCCAACTTCCTCTACAGCCTGGGCACGCTGCTAGAGTTCGCGGCGTTCCTCTGGCTGCGCGCCAGGCAGCCCGACCTGAAGCGCCCCTACCGCGTGCCGCTCCCGCTGCCCGCGCTGGCGGCCATGTGCGCGGTGCCGTCCGCGTTCCTGGCGTACGTGTGCGTCGTGGCCGGGTGGAGGGTGTTCGCGCTCGCCGGCGGGCTCACGGCGCTCGGCGTTGGCTTGCACGGCGCCATGAGGCTGTGCAGGGCCAAGAGGTGGCTCAGGTTTGAAGGCCAGCAGGGACAAGGAGATCATGCTGCCGCACCTGCACACACGGTTTGAATTTGAACTTTGAAGTTTGAACTGTCACGGGTAGGCAGATCGATGCGAAAAACAGGATGCTACATCCTACATTTCTGATTCCAAACCTGCAAAAATGTAATTCATCATTGTACTAAAGATTTGTGTCGTGTCATACATACATATATCCATGCGCTCATCTCATCAGAACCAAGGCACCCTGACTGTCCCAACTCACATACATACAGATATTCGCTTCATATTTACGACTTCTATACATAATAGAAATCTGATCTGACACTGGCATCTACATGACCAGTAGCTCAATAATCAAGAACATGTTGTGACACGAGAGAAAAGGGATGTCTAGTCTCTGCTAGAGGTAATAATCCAGATATCTGCATCGGTAATTCACATCGCATCCAAGGACACAAGAAGAACGGCGACGGCAGCGGCGGACAGAGCCGTCAAACCGGCGCGCGACAACCCACGGCACACGCCGTTGTAAGGGTTGAGCGTGCCGCTCGGCCCGAACGACCCGGTGCCATTGAAGGAACCCGGCGGGGTGCCGAATCCGGGTCCAAAGCCGCCTCCAGCTGGCGGGGTGAAGCCGGACGGAGGGGTGAACTCCGACGACGGCGGGGGGGTGGAGCCGACTGGAGGCGTGAAGCCCATCGGAGGGGAGAGGCTGGTCGGCGGGCTCGCGCCCACCGGCACGCTCGGGTTGGAGCCTCCCGACGGAGGGGTGAACGACGACGACGGGGGGGTGGAGCCGACTGGAGGCGTGAAACCCGTCGGAGGGGAGAGGCTGGTCGGCGGGCTCGCGCCCACCGGCACGCTCGAGTTGGAGCCTCCCGCCGTGGAGCTGAAACCGCAACGCGTGCCAAGAAAACGAGATCACGTCAGACTGTCAGTCTAGCAAGCGTTCCGAGTGGTTGGCAGAACATAACAGAATTGGTGCGTGCAGAAATTGCAGTGTTTGAAATAAACCGTGCTCACCTTCCCGCGAAAACGCAAGAGCCTGAACCTGAAACGAGCAGTCACACGAAGGCGTTAATCAGTGCTCACGAACACTGCTCGATCTCTTGAGGTAAAAAGGAAAAGAAAAATACTTGGGTCATTGGTGGTGGTGGTGGCGGTGCCGTTGAAGGAGCAGGTGGCGCCGGTGCTGGCCATCTTCTGGTAGTAGTCGTTGTAGGCGTAGGACGCGAGCGCCGGCAGGTTGTTCTGCTGGTAGCAGGCGCCGCTGGGCTGGATGGCGGAGCAGTCGGCGTGGTCCGTCCCGCACGCCCAGTTGAGCCCGGCCTGCAGCGCCGCCGGGTCCGCGTTCTGCAGCGCCACGCAGAACGTCCCCGCCGCCAGCGACCGCCGCTGACCACCCGCACCCGGGTAGCCGTAGCCGTATCCGTAGTAGTAGTACGGCACCACCGCCACGCCGCCGGCGGCCGCGAGGTCCGCCGCGATCACGGGGACGCGCGAGACGCCCAGCGCGCGCATCGCGGCGTACGCGGAGTCGACCTTGGCGTCGCTGGCGTCCGACGGGCGCGACTTGAGGAACAGCGGCGAGCCGGACGACTCGAGGAACCGCAGGACGTGGGCCACGACGCCCGACCACGCCGGGTCGGCCAGCGCCTCGCCGGACAGCGCGCTGGACACCTTGACGCGGCCGCCGAGGCCCGCGGCGGCGAGGGCCGAACGGAGGTTGACCATCGCCGGAACCAGGAAGTAGGCGCTGCTGCCCGGGGAGCTCGCCAGCAGCACGTCGTCGCCCGCCAGGACGTGCGTGATCCTGGTCGCAGGGAGGAACCGCGCGACGTTGGCGGCGACCCAGAGGTCGGCCTCCTCCTGGAACTCGGCCACGTGCTCCAGCTGCTCGTTGGGGATGGTGACCATCACCTCTGCGTCGTCGATGCCTGCCAGGGAGCTCAGCAGCTGAGGGTCGGCTCCGCACACGCGAGCTTGCCTTGTCTGCTTAGACTGAACGATCTTGGCGAACTCCGACGGAGAGTTTTCTGAAGCCATCGTCAGTACTACACCTGCGGGTTTGTGAAAAATAGAAATTTGTACTGTAATATAAGTAAATCCGGCTTTAGCCCAAATAGCAATGCATCCCAATACACTGTAATTCAGACTTCAGTATTTCAGAGCAGAATTTTAGACGAAATTAATTACTGGTTACACGTGCCAAACAGCATCATTGATTTTATAAAACGAGATAATAGTGAGAAGATCGTTCAGATAAACTTGGGCATGGCACAAGTGTCCTTACGCCTTTGTTGACTCGAGATAAGGCATGGAAAGGGTGTAAAAGGCACAAGCATATCCCTACCCCTTTGTAGCTTATGAAAAAAAAAAGGCCCCTTGCAATCCTCTACACTTTATTCAGTTATCGGCATACATGACATGCATGCATTTCTAGCGAAGTAAAGCATCTTTGGGGACACAAAAGAAAGTCGTTTTTAGGGATGACAGAAAAGGTAAAGAAAGAAAAGTGAGGAAGGAACTAGGAACCCGGTGCCACTGAAGACTCAGGGGGAAAAGGCGTCAAAACCTGCGTAGAACGTAACATATACATACCTGATGCGTTGCAGAGAAGGAAGGCGAGGGAGAAGAAGAAGATGCATCCCTTCCATCGTTTCTGCAACATCCTCGCACCCCCCAAGATGTGCAAGCGAAGGCCTTGTGTTGTGCTAGAGACTCCTCCGATAACTGAAATTGTCAGCTCGACGGTTTTCAGAGTTCAACGCTGAGATAACTGAAAAATATATACTCCTCTGTTGAAGAATATACAATATTTTAATTTTAACTCAAAATTTAACCAAGTAATAAGAGAATACATCAATATCTATTACAGAATGAAATGAGTTTTGTTGAATTTAACATGAAACATGTACTAATAGTGTACATATTTCATATTGCAGATATTAATATATTTTTCTAAAAAAATGATCAAATTAGAAGAGTCTGACCTTGGAACTTAAGGAATAGTATTTACTTTCTGATGACAACCACATAAAAGCAGCCATTTGACTTACGTGTGTATCCTATGAAATTTTATACTTTCTCCGATTACAATTTTTTTTTTGAGAATCAACTTATGTAAAAAATCTCGAAATCTTGTTAAAAATAAAAAATTAACATCTACAAGTTCAAATACATGAACTTGGAAAACATATTTAATAGAGAATTTGATATTATCCGTAATGATGTACGTTTGTAGACTGTTTCAAAAGCTAGGAAAGTTCTACTCCCTCCATCCAAGAAAAATGCAATTCTAGATTTGGAGCAAGTCAAAAAAAAAGTTTGTGAACAATTTTATAGAAAATAACATATTATGGAGTAATATTTATATTCCGATGGCCTAGAGAAACCAGATAAAACAGTGTCATTGACTTATGTATGTATCCAATGAACTTTTATGCTTTCTGTGTCTTAGATTATAGTTCATTTGAGAATTAACCTAGGTCAAACTTTTCTCACTATGATCAAATTTCTGGAAAATATATTTAATTGAGGATTTGATATTATCCTTAGTGATGTGCTTTTGTAGACTTCGTCAAAAGCTAGAAAAGTTGTACTCTCTCCATTCCAAAAGGAATTCAATTCTAGGATTGGAACACGCCAAAAAATTTAAAATTTGACCAATTTCATAGAATAACATCAAACATTTATGCCGCCAAACACGTTTACTATAAAATATATTCTACAATGAATCTAATGACACTGATTTGATATTCTAATTGTCAGTAATTTTCTATAAATGTTTGATAAAATTAAAAATTGATTGACTCTTGAGAGTTGGGAATTATATTTTTATTGAGACTGAAATAATACTGAACAAATGGATTAGAATTTGAAACGAAGAGAGCAGGGCAGTTGTGTAGAGAGTCGTGTGACACCAAAACATGCTACTATTAAAGACTAATTAAGCTAGTGAGACAACGCGTGTCAAGGTCATAGGCAGGTTAGGTTGTAGATGTTTCGAGTTCCATGCAGAGGTGGAAGTGGAAGCAACCACAATCCAACAGCAACGTGTATGTATCACTGTCAGCGCACGGCGCAGTATGTGCGACGTCACAGGGGAAGCGAAAGAAGGAAGGAAATAATTGAGATGCGAATACGGACCGGAACTCGCTGCTGATATGCTATGCAGACTCTTCTGGTGTCAGTGTCTGGCCAAGAGCATCGCCCAAGTGTCAACAAACTGTGGGAGCGCAGTGTCACTCAGGCTGAGTGAAGGTGAGGACCCATGCGTTCGTCTAATCCAGAATTCCAGATGGTTGGTGAACTAAAACACCTAATCGAAGTAGTTTGTGAGCAGTGACTGTTGCCTTGCCTATGGAATGAAGAAGATAAGTAAAGTGATGGAAGTAGCCTTGCCAGCATGGTGATTGTTACCGGACCAGAGAAGATAAGGAAAAATTCATCTGATTTGATTTGCGGTTCGGCAAGGCAGCAGCCAGTGTGGTGTGATCAGTGCTGGCAGTGCATGGATTGCAGCACCAGGAGATCGAACGATAAACGAAGAAGGCGCAGTGCAAGAACCTAACAGCTGCTGAATGGAAACAGAGTAGGTTGCAAGCGAGGGGAAGGAAACATGCGGCATGCCCAGAACTAAACTAGAGAAGAAGAGGAATTACACAGACGAGAAATAAATAAAAGAGGAAAGGAGAAGCTAGAAAGCAAATAGCAGGCAGGCGATGAGGATCGCAAGAAATGGGGGGAAGCCATGGGCGTACCTCGGCTCCGATCCGATCGCCTTCCTTTAGCTTGCTTCTCCCGGACGAAACGAAAGCCTAGCCCTGCCTCGATCGGAATGCTTATTAATTTGGTACAGGTACAGTATAAACTACCCGAAATCTGGTGAAGCGAGCAGGTGGCTGGCAACAGCGGAGAGGAGCAGGGGCGTGACGACGCGGCGTGTGGGTATGTTGTGTGTACTAGCACTAGGGGCCGGGGAGGGAAGCTTGGAAGCTGAGGCTCTGGCTTTATACGCACAGCAGCGCCAGGTGCAGGCAAATGAGCAGAGCAGGATCGAGCGCGCGATTAGGACGTTGGAGATGAGGCGGTGGGTGCAGCTGCCAAAGAAAACGTAAACGGCATTGGCTTTCTCTTGCGATACGATATGTGTCCAGTACCAGGTGTTCGTGTCAGGTATGTTGGCGGTAGTCCTGCGGGTAGGATCGCGGCGGCCACTCCTGGCACGCACGTATCAACTGACAGCCGCCGGTGTCGCCGAAAGATGGACGAGTCACAATTTCTTTTCAATTTCAATTCCTTGCGGGCTGCGGCAGAATGGAATGCCAGATGCAGAATCCCTTTTTAGGCAGCTTTCTTTACCGAGTAGGAGTATTGCATATAGGTTAAGGACTCTTCGGTTAGGACGTCTAGTTGCGAGGAATCAATCCACCGCATCTATCGGCGCGGGCGCGGCGGCCGTTCCGAGCAGGTGACCATCCACGCATCAGCTTCCTTTCCTCTTCCAACCAAACTTCGTTTCCCCGTCTCACGAGTTACATACACATCGCCCTCCCGCTCTGCTTTTAGCTTCTGTCTGCTGCAGATCGAGCGAAACCATTCCGAGCTAGCAAAGCAGCAACAGGCCAACAGCATCCACGCCAGATCATCCGCCCTTGTTTGCGTCCACTCAGGTGACGGCGCGCCGCTAGCCACGGATGGGATGTTCATCCACCCATCCACCATCCGGGTTAATCAGCATGTTCGGTTGGCTGGTTCATTTCGTTGCTGGTTCGTGAAGAAGTACTGCTGACTGGTTTGTGTGAGAAAAAAATACTGTTCTTGTTAGAAATTTACGATCGTTTACGACAACCCACAGCCAAACAAACAGGCTGAATAACTTTAGAATTGCATCATCATAAGTGGAATCCAAAGGCTAGTTTTCCTATGAATTATGGATAAGTCTCAGCCTCAAGTAGAGCGCCACGAGTGCTTGCTGCGTCCTGCCTTTCGATTGCCGACGGGGTTCTCACATGCAGGCACAGATACACCCACTCTGTCGGCCCCTACTTTACATTAATATCATCCTTTCTTCTGTACTACGTATACTATCAGAGATAGATCCTACCGGCAACCTGCCTCTGTCTCCATATCCGCACTATTATAATTAATCTTACTATTATTAATTAGGGTCCTTGTTCATTAGAGCGTGATCTTACCTTAAACTGTCCCAATCTTCACATCTCCACATCCATCTTAATTACTCCCTCCATCCTATAATACAGTGCATTCTAGCATTCAAAATTTATCCTCAAATATAATGCGTTCTAAAGGATAAAAACCAATTTTACATTAAATACTTTTCATTTATCAACCAAACACCATTAATCACCATAAAATGAGAGTGCGTGCTTCTTTTATGTTCTCTTTTAATCTATCTTAAAATTCATAGAATACACTATATTACATGACAGAGGGAATATCTTACGGTTACTAATTGATGCTTTTCAACAGAAATCTCGCCTTAATCCTTATGAAACATGCTAGAAAAAGAAAAGAATGGTCGGAAACATTTGGCCATAAATTCAACTAGCTTTAATCCGCATTGGGTCTATTCTGTTTTCTAAAAAGTACCCACATGTAAGCCTATAAACTAGCATCGAAACTACCCACCTATAGCTTTACCAATGATAATCTAAAGCAACACCTTCAATTACTACGTATCTAATGTATCCACCTTTGCCATTATTAAAAAGCTTTAAGCAACCTTGTAAAGTTTGAAACAATATACACGGTTACTTAAGAGGTATTTTTCATAATAGTAATTTTGAGTAATTTGAATATAGATTTAGAAGTTTATTTAAACTTTTAATAACAATGACAAAGATGGATAATTAATGTAGATTAGAGAATTTTTAATTTACTTTTGTATTGATAGCATACGTGGATAACTTAGATGTGTATGTAGGGGGTTTAATTATTTTATGTATTTTTTATATAATGGAAGAGGTGAGTGGTTTAGAAGCAAATAAAATCACTTTCCTATTCTATGATCACTTACAGAG